GTTTCTTACTGTACAATCTGTGATATATTAACTTACATTACTCGGTGGATTACCACAGTTGTATCTCGAACTTTAAATAATTCTTTCTCTTTCGTCAAAGTCCACAGAGAAGGATTCAATTACTTTAGAACACCCTTTGACAATTATTCTCCTTATCTCTATTAATCTCTGAAACTCACTTTAAAATATCACAAATTGTAGCTAATCATTCACATGTCGACTAACTTCACGTTTTCTTTTGGTAACTAATTTTCTGACTGAACCCCACTTGACTTGCGCTCGCTTGGTCGCCTATATTCATATATTATTCAATGAGGCCTCGAACTTTTACTAAATTACGCGAGCGGCGCTATGATGTAACAATACTCGCTTAAGGTAACGAGAAAAATACCGAAGATTTGAGTAACTTAGCGTCAACAATACTACAAAAAGTTGAACCACACAACAACATACGACTCTTACCGAGTTAGCAACCAAATTTGTCATAACTATCTCCTTTAAAATGATTAATTTTTAACACTCTCGTTATAAAAACTAAACCTTCATTAAACATTAACTCACAGAATAAATTAAATAATAACGCCTACATTGAACAATCTTATGTATCCAACAGTTTCATTTTTATTCCAATCACTTAAATAGTTTACAAATAAATTTGTTTCATCAAGGTTTTTGTCAGGAATACACTACAAAACTGTCAACTACAGTCATTATTTTCAAATTATTTCAAATGTTAATTCGCGAACATTACTACTGTGATAGATATCTGCACTTTTTTGAGTAGACGATCTTGTTCTTCATATAGCAGATAAAGTTTGTCTTCGTGAAGATATAAGAAGATTGGAGTCACACAGACCCTTTTATTTATATGCAACTGTATTTGAAATTCATACAGATAGCTTTGAAATTACAATATATTATCAATTTAGAAAAATAACAGAGCCTACCAAGAGAATCGGAAACCAAACTTCCAATGGAATTATTTAGTACATACACTAAAATCTTGGTTCTTACCTTAAGTGCTGACTGTCCAAATCAAAACCAACGTTATAAAATGTCCTAGTAACCCAGTTCCCTCCTTAATTATTGACTGTCCAAATCAAGACTAACATTATAAAATATACGAGTACCTAGTTCTCACTTCAATTATTGACTGTCCAATTCAAAACCAACATTATATAATGTATTACTAACCCAGTTCCAACTTTAATTATTGACTGTGCAAATTAAAACGAATATTATAAAATGTACTAGAAATCTAGTTCTCACTTTAACTGTTGACTGTTCAGATCAGAACCATTATTTAAGCATGTATGTACTAAGAACCCAGTTTACACCTTAGAAAATGTACTAGAAACACAGTTTTTCACTAAATGCTGACTTTCAAAATTAAAACCAACAATAACAAATGCACTGGGAACTTAGTTCTTGTCACCATACTAAATTTCTAGACTTCACCTGAGGAATGTTCACATTAAAAAAAAACACACAGCTTGTTTCTGCAATTATTTATCAGCACCCTTTAATAAACAACTTCTTAATAGTTAATAAATCATCAGTTATACTGAGTTAATGGGCTATGTATTCAGTGTGTTCGCAGTTGGTT